CCAACAAACTCATTCATTTTGTGTTCAGAATCAGCCTCTGCTGGTTTTGAATAATTTTAGGTTTACACAAAGAAAATCAAATTAATTTGGTATTTTTTAATTGCATTTGTGAACAACTAACATAATTTGCATGTGTTCTTTGAAAGGAGGACCTGAATCTGTTTTTTGAGTGTATAGAAGTAAAATCAAAAGTAGTCAAAAACGGCCAATTATACCCTGGACCCCAGAGGGTTAATATCACCAACCATTCCCATTTTATTATGGTGTATCCATATAAATGGCCCACCCTGTAGAAATCCAATAAACCGGTCAGGTTCTATGCTATTTTGTCACCTCCTTGTCTATTTCTCTCCCTTTTTCTCTCTCTTTCAGATAACTTGTGCAATGGGAAGTTCCACAAACACTTGCAAGACCTGTATGCCCCCCTGGTAGTCCGATATGTTGACCTGATGGAGTCTTCCATTGCTCAGTCTATTCACAGAGGCTTTGAAAGAGAATCATGGGAACCGGTTAAGTAAGGATATCTTTATTTAATTTACCTTTGCTAATTTTTTCTTTTTCTTGAGGATCAAACCATATTGATTGGCACACATCCATTAGCCTTGCTTTGTAGTCCTTGTCAGCAACTTTTGTAGCATAAAAACATGCTTATTTTTAATACATAAAATTCATTTAATCTATAATACATATACAACTGAGTTTATACAGAAAATTTTCTGTTTCTGTGCTCACAGAAACAAGTCTGAACCTGATTTCAAATTTGCTTATCCCACAAGTGCCTTATACAATTATATGTCTCTTTCCACACTCCTGCCACAGATACGGTACTTCACGTTCTCCCTATAATTCTATTGTGTAACACCAGTAACGACCATCTCTTATCTGCACCACATTTCCACCACTGTCAAAAGTTTTAACTCATCACCTTGAATCTTATTTTATGGAACAGGAAGATGCTCCAGGGAGCCAAGGCTAGCAAGTAGTAGATGAGGGACGGGGCAATTATGTTGATGGGCCAAAAATGTCAGTGTGAAATGATGCAGACAACTCAGGGCAAGACAGTAAAACTCTGACCTTAAGCCCTAAGCAGAACTGCACATTACTGTGTATGTTCCTGATAAAAGTTTTAACTATGCGTCTAATTTTAGTCTTGTAGACTCCACATACATTTAGGCTCAGCCCATGGATTAAGGGCTGGGGTAGGGGCTCAACATGGGCCCTACCCTGGGCCTTGCTTCAGGGTGAGGCCCCAGTATGTGTACTTCAGGCAAGGTTTCCTGATTCCTTGTTCTCATCATCAGAGGGTTCTTTTCTTTAATCACGATCTTCAGACCTTGGCAATATTAAGTGGAATATATAGATAGTACCCTTTAAATGTCACACTGGAGCAGTAGTTCCCCTTTTCAATGAAGGGGTTAGGAAGCTGTGCTTTAACATTGGGGGACCACAATTGTTAGGAAATTACATGCCTTCTTATGAATGCAATGCAAAGCTTGTTCTGTATTTCTGGCAAACGGTCAGGCATGTTCATGTCAGGTATTGCACTCAGTCTGCAAAATCTACAGATTATGATACTAAGTGTACTGAGGTATTAGTAGACAGGTGGCACGAGACCCACAGGCTCAAGCAGTATAACACCTACAGCTCAGGCAGCAACTGGGGCTGCATCACACGGCATGTAGTCTCCTCAGGCTGGGGCTGCTCAACAAGGGTTCCACTGGTTCTGAAGCCTTCTAAGCTCTGGGAAAACACAATGAGCAAAGCAGAAGAGAGACGCTTTATATGCCACTATTTAGGGGCAAGAAAGTACAATAATAAAGGTTAAGAGTGGGTTAAGGGTTAAGGTCTTGCTCTTCCATTCTCCAAGACCAGAATCAAATTCACAGTTGAAGGTAAAGTTGACGCGTTGAGGCTAGACTAGCTCAACCAATCAGGGGAGAGACTTGCAGAAACAATTCAATTCAATTCAATTCAATTCAATTTTATTTATATAGCGCCAAATCACAACATAAGTCGCCTCAAGGCGCTTCATAGATACAGAGAAAA